ACGTCTTTAACACACACACGTCTTTAACACACACACACCAGCAGTACGGGGTATAGTAAATGTGATGTTTTACTGAATCTTTAAGCACCCTAGTTTGATGTGAAAGTTATACTCATGACTCACTGGAAGAGAACTTTGTTTCAAAACATTAATAACTAAGACTGTGTTCTCCCCTGAAACATTAATAACCAAGACTGTGATGTATTAATGGCAATATATGTTATCATAACCTACAAGAGATGTAACCATGATCTGTAATAACGGGTTTGTTGAATAAATATATAAAAAATATGTTTTGAAAAGGACTTTCCTCCGGTAGAATAAAATTAATTAGACTTAACTGATTTCTTTTTTTCATGTTTTTTACACTTCAGTGTTTAAGAACAACAATCTTTAAAAAAAAATAGTCAATGACAACAGCAGTAAACAAAAAGCAGTTTTCCAATTAAGATTTTTAATAAAGGAGAAAACAAATCTATTTATTCTCAAACCATCTTTTTAACCACTATATATATCAGCCAAATGAACCAGAACTAAATATCTTCAAAAGCAGCTAAATATAAATTTAATTCAAGTCATTAGATAATATTTGAAGGGCTTAAAATCTTTACCATTTTATTCCAATTTGTGTTTAAAATGTAATCTGTCCGAATATAAAATATTTGCGCACAAACAGTTGTCGTGTTGTGAATTAAAATTATGGCATTAGCCGATGTTGATGATTTATAATTTAAATTGATCGTGTTTCAAGATATTGTGAAGGATTTGGCAGAGGGAGACGCTGAAGGACAAACAGATCAACAAACTTCCTGTGATTTAAACCTGATAGTTGTTTAAAATATTTCTACAGTGAGGTATCTCTGTTAAATGTGTTTGATTAGAGGAAAAGCTATTTTAGTTTTTGTTAGTTGTTTAAGAAATCTTGTGTTATTGGTTTATTATCTGGGGGGCCAATCCCCCACCCTTAAAACCTAATGACGCCTCTGGAGAAAAGAATGTGACGATACAGGCAGCCTATAGAGATATAAATGATCGTACAGTTACTCTTCTCTAGATCTGGTTTGACAAAGGAGACATATGTCTGCAATCGTGGCAATAAAATCAAACAGGCAGGAATACAACACAGAGATGGACATTAAATAATGAAACATCAGGAGAAAGAACTGGGAATAAGCTCTGAGGCATCAGCGTCTTCAGGGGGCAGCAGCTTCATCACAAAACCAGGACTTTAAACATGTGATCTACAGTGTTTAGACCAACATGGACTCATGTAGCACCAAGCTGGTATATTTTCATATTCCATTCTGTGTTTTCCTTTAGCTTCCTCCCTTTTATCTGCTGTAGATTTTTGGTTGAACAAGAGTTCCTGTGTTCAGTTGAAGGATTGGAGAAAATGTTCAGATGATTTTAATCTATAGGAGATCTTCATCATGTTTCTCCATATAACTGATTGAGGAACAAATGCTGCCAATCCCAGAGCTGATCTCAGACTGTCTCACTCTCTTAGCCAGCCATTCAGCAATGTTGTTATGAGCTCGTTGGTTCCTAATCTCAGAAATGCTCCCATATTCTGAGGCATCATCTCCGCTCACTGAAACAGAAGAAAACAATATAGATGGAACCAAGAGTTTGTAGAAACTCAGTGGTTAATTCTTCATCATTTTCAACTTACTGTCTGGAATCATAAAGTCATTCTTGCTCTTTGCCACCTCCACAGAGGGAACTGTTGGTTTCTCTGGTTCCTTTGCTAAAGCTTTCATCATTCTCTCCATCAGCTCCTGCTCCCGTCTGTTCCACTCCTCTTCTGTCAGCATGCGTTGTTTTTCTTGCCACGGTAGAAACGGAAATTTCTTTCTTTTCACTTCAGTCATGAAGCATCCTTTGTTCTGTTTTACCAT